TCTGTAGACCAAGCTGGTCTCAAACTCAGAAATCCACCTGCCTCTGCCTCCCAAGTGCTGGGATTAAAGGCATGTGCCACCACCGCCCAGCTCTTAAGCCTTTTTTTTTTAACGACGTCAGAAAATGAATGAAAAATAAACATAAGGCTCATAATGTATATGTTCCTTGTCCTAAGTCTTTAGGAAGCTGAAGCAGAAAGATCACAAGTTCACAGCTAGCCTAGAAAACCAGATTCTATCTTAAAATCATGGGGGTGGGGGATGTTTAGACGCTAGTTAATAAAACACAGGGTTTGGGTTTGGTCATCTCATAAAATCAGGTGTGCTAACATGGTGACACATTCCTAGAATCCCAGCACTGGGAGTAGAGGCAGCAGGAAGAGAAACTCAAGATCATCTTCAGCTGGAAAGCAAGTGTGAAGCTGGCCTGGGATACAGGGGACTCGGTCTTAATAAAAAGCATGGGGTAGGGGTGGGAACGGAGTTCATTGATACAGTGTTGCTTAGCACAGCAAGGCCATGGTGTCAGTCCTCTGTACCAAGGAAATAAATACACACACAAAGAAACGCATGAGGGAACACAAGCTGACATGCAGGATATCTGTCTTCCTAGTCTGACTTATGAATTTGAAAGGAGCAAATAATACTTCTGGACTTTATTATGAAAATAAAATGAGAGGTTGCTTGTTTGAAGTTGTTGTTGGTGTGTGTGTGTGTGTGTGTGTGTGTGTGTGTGTGTATGTGTGTGTGTTTAAATGGAAAGTCTAAGCCTGAAAGCCAGAAGATATCCTCACTGGTTACACCTTAAGCACTCTCCTCCTTTTGTTACTGTTATTTTCTTATTGGCATGATAATATAGCATATTGATATGTTTTTTGGTTTTGGTTTTCTTTCTTCTAAGGGGCATTCAGTAAGGACAAAATGAAGTTGAAGGTCACTTTTCCTTGACTCTCATTTTTAAAAATGTACATTTTTAATCACTTCATACAAAGCTATGTAAGTATCAGATATTTCATGTTGTACCATGATATAAAAATCCTAAAGAAAAAAAAATTTCAATCCAAAGCCTCTCAATGGTTCAGCCAGTATAAGCATTCACTTTCCAGGCCTGGTGACTTAAGTTCAATCCTCACAATTGATTCTACACATGTTCACCATGGTCTGTAAACCACAACACTTACACTATGTGTATGCACAGGCATACACACACACACACACACACACACACACACACACATCAATAGTAACATAATCTCTTACTCCAAAAGATCAAGTTTCAAAAGCAGCATTTGCTAAAAGTCCAATAGTACATCAAATAGTTAAACAAGAGCATAAATATGACAAGTGATAAAAAATGAATTTAGTCATACACTAATAATTTTATAGCTATGCAAACATAGGTATTTAGTCAGCCTTGTTACTAGAGAAAGGATCAAAACAAAATACTGAAAAATATCCCTATTATTGAAATTTGAAGAGGACCCAATAGACAATTCAAAATTCCAATGAAGCCGGGCAGTGGTGGCACACACCTTTAATCCCAGCACTTGGGAGGCAGAGGCAGGCAGATTTCTGAGTTCAAGGCCAGCCTGGTCTACAGAGTGAGTTCCGGGACAGCCAGGGCTACACAGAGAAACCCTGTGTCGAAAAACAAACAAACAAACAAACAAACAAAAAAAAACCCTAAAATTCCAATGATGCTTTCATCATAAAATTTAAAAATCTGTATTTACTTATAAGAAATGGTTTTGACTTCTTCTTTCTTTTGTTTTTTCTTTTTGAGATAAGGTTTTGCTATCTAGCCCTAATTAACCTTGAGCTCAGGGCGATCTTCCTGACTTGTCCTCCTACAGGCTAGGGTCCCAGGTGTGTGTCCCCATCCCCTGCTTGTCTTCTTCATCTCCACACCTTAGGATACAAAACATTAGTTTGCATCCTGCTCGGTAAGTCCCCCCTGGAATCAGGAGCATCTGGAGTTCAAGTGCATCCTCGACTATATAGCAAGTTAGAGGCCACCGGGGCTCTGTGAAATGCTGTCTTCAACAAAATCAGGGAGAATGGAGTGGAGCTTGGGGAATATGCTCAAAATATGACCTAAGAGTTTCTCTAACTTAAAAAAGGAAAAAAATTTTAGGAATGAGTATATATTAAGTGAATTTCAACATAGTACATCTTTCTTTCTTTCTTTCTTTCTTTCTTTCTTCCTTCCTTCCTTCCTTCCTTCCTTTCTTTCTCTCTCTTTTTTTTTTCTTTGTGTAGAAAACCTTTCTAGCTATTCTCAAATTCGATTTGTAGGCCCTTAAACTCAGAGATCTACTTGCCTCTGCTTCCCGAGTGCTGGAATTAAAGTCAAGCACCATTGCTGGGCAACATCACATAATTTCATTCAAATTACTAATGAAATATACTAATTTACAAATTATATTTATTATATACTCCTCAGAACTTTTCTAAAATATTTTTATTTCTGAATTTTCATTATGTATTAAAACTATGATTAATGAGTTTATTGCCAAAAGCCATTTAATGTGCTTAATTACAATTCTGACTCCTTTGGACTTCTGTGTTTTTAATTATACTTTTCTCCTAACATGGTTCAGAAAGAGGAAGAAGGTTCATATTTTAAGCCAATTAAACCCAGAATCCACAGGAAAAAGAATAAAGGACATAGAGATACATGTCTCGGAAACTGTAACACAATTGCAACACAGAATGACTGGGACATATGACAGCTCATCACATAGTTGGATCATCCAGCTATATCTTCTGTTTTTCTGTTTCTAATTTGTATAGAATCACTTGCAAATAAACAGAGGAGATTCCTTTCTGCAGCCAGAGGTTTCAGTACTTCTGTTCTACCTGATTTGATAAGTCAGATAGAGGGCAATGACCAATCTAGGCAACCCATTTCTACATCCTATGCAAATTAATGCACCAATCATCGAAGAAGAGTCCTGGAAGGTCAAAAACCGAAACCCTGCACAGAGAACATCAGTTGGTAACTTCGGTGTTACACCATTATGTCATTTTACACAGCTTCCAAGGAGGTCTTCTCAGTAAAGTATCCACTTTACGAAACAGCAATGACCTTTCAGGCAAATTTTTCCAAGTAACTATTTTCATCCCTAGTATATCTAAGGTCAGTAAAAGTGTTCTAAATATAGAATAAGGCTTCACAGAAATGTTTGCCCATGCTTATATTGTATTTAAATTAGTATACTTAACATTTTACTTCCTAAATATTTGTATCTACGTGTCACATGTGCCTATTAACAAATTTAGCCAATACAGTTATAAAAATGATTTTTGCTTAGCATGCGATTTCTCTTACATGGCAACATCATTTTCATTCTTACATGCATAACTATTTCTAACCCAGATTTAATACCTGTTCTCACAATTCTGAAGGAAAAAAATGACTTCAAGTGCAATTTAATATATACTGTCATAAAACTAGAATCTTGGCCCCATAAGGGTTTCAAACCCTAACAATTCCTTTGGAAATAGACTGCCATAAAAGAAGTTCTCGTTAATTTTTAGGTATTGTATTTAAAGTCCCCATTAAAAGAGCATACCATAATACAATTCTACCTAGAGATATCAGGGGTCAAATGAGACAAAAATCTTGTTAAGTATTAACCAAATTTTACTATCACCCATTCATAAATTGTGTAGTTCTGTGTGTTCTTCAAACAGTTCTCACTGCTAGGAAAGACAGCATTCCCTTTGGTTGGGAATTACCTTTCTGCCCAGATAGTAACCATATATTTACTGTTTCTTTTTTTTTTTTTTTGGTTTTTCAAGACAGGGTTTCTCTGTGTAGTTCTGGCTGTCCTGGAACTCACTTGGTAGACCAGGCTGGCCTCGAACTCAGAAATCCGCCTGCCTCTGCCTCCCAAGTGCTGGGATTAAAGGCGTGCGCCACCACCGCCCGGCTATATTTACTGTTTCTAAATAGGAATCCAGTTCTGTTTGGTAAAGAAGGTCCTTCCTTCTCATTGGCAAATCACATCTCAGATTAATACATCACATCTGAGCAGGCAGGAGGACAATCTACCACTATGATGATCTAAGTGCTAAGTAAGGGTGGAGGTCCTGACTTTGGCATCAGCGGCAGGAGAAGAAGCCTGGACACGAAATCTCAGATCGCTAGTGAATGGAGTACTATGTTCCCACCCAACCCCCACCCCCATCAGCCCCCACCACACCTTATTTTTAGAAATAGGGTCTTACTATGTAGCCCCAGTTGTCCTGGAATTTCCTAGGTAAACCAGGCTGACCTCGAACTCACATGGACTTTCCAGCCGCAGCCTCTGGAGTATGTGGGCCGCCATGCTGGACCACTACTCCCTTTTAAAATTATTAACATATACATAACGTAGACAGAAAATAGGACTTATTCAAACAGCCAGACAAGTGGGCAAGCCCTTCTTGCGGTGCTAGAGTGCTGGGCAAACTGTGTGAGTAGAGGTGCAAAGTGAGTATGAACATCTTCCCTACAACCCACATGACTGCAATTTTGGGGGTAGCCGTGTTGAAAGTTGAAGTCCCTTCTCTCCTGTGGGTGAGAAGCCAACGTTTGCAGCCATCCCTGGCAAAGGTCCTAAGGGAACTCCATTCAGGGGTACAGCCCCATCCTAGCACCCTGAGTGGCTTCTAACGGTATAGCTCTCTCTGCAGTGGGTCATGTGACAGCTGGGTGTGTGCCTCCGTGCTGCGCAGAGAGATCAGTTTGCGGGTGTGCCTCAGTGTGTACCGACAGAAGTTACACGCCTGGTTTAGAAAGGCGCGCGCGTGGGGTGGGGGTGAGGGGGCGTGAGTGCAAAGTGTGCCGTGAAAATGAGGTTTCGAGAATACTACTGGGCCAGGCGAAGTGCCCAGGCTCACATGAATGGGTCCCCTGTGGGACCAGCTCCTGTCCCCTGAGATCAATGTCCTGGTCCTTGGGGGAGGCGAGGACGTGGTGGTGGGGCGGATCCCCCCCTACACCCAGCACCCACCTGACGGATCCGCGGTGGGTTCTGCGGGGTGCAGGCCCCTCCCTCCGGGCCAGGGGAGGTGGGGGAAGCCATGTCCAGGTTCTCGGAACTCCTTCCCTCGGTCAAGTCCGGCCGTCCCGCGTGTCCTCGTCTCTTCCGCTCCGGGCCTGCGGCGTTCGGGCTCACCCGGGGACCCGCGTGCTCCTAGGCGGCCGCAGAAGGTCGGCCGTGGCAGCGATCGCCCGTGGGGTACTGCTGCTCAAGCCCACCTACCTCCCCGCCGGGTGCCGTGGGGTCATGGCGCGCCGGGTGGGCTGCGGGCAGGACCGGCGACACGCTCTAAGCGACTGCTGCTGGTGGCGCGGGGAGAAAGAGGAGGGCTCCTTCCCTCGCCGCGCGCCGGGAGAGCGATGAGCTCATGGACAGCTCCCAGAAATATGTCTATATGCACCACTGCCTGCCGGAGCTCGCGAGGTGGGTGGGGATAAGAAGCTCGCTGGCGCTCCCGCAGCCCGGGAGACGTCCCTCGGGAGGCCCGGCTGCTGCTCCTCCCTGCCCCGCGCGGGCCCGCTCGGCTCCCATTCACTCTCACACCCGCTACACACCAGATCTCCTGTCCGCGTGGGCGAGCCACCCACCCACCTCTAGCGCACGCATTCTTTGTCCTTCCAACCACTCCCTTCTGATGAGGAACAAGTCATTTATATGAATGACCAGAATGGGGACTACCACTGAGACCTTAGCTCCTGTCAAATGTGGGCTGAGGGAGGGTGAAATGTCACAAGCTGTATATCTTTCACGCTTTGGGCGTTTCCTCTTTTCCACCTTTTTTTTTTTTTTCCTCTATGAGAAAGAGCCTTCCAGCTACCCTTCTGGGTGATGACTTGGCAACATCTTCTCTAAGGTACCCTGAGCACTTTCATAGATCCTGGGAGATCTTGGGACGAAAGGACCAGGTTTAGCAGACCCATGCAAGAGATTGTGGCACAAGTCATGCACACTGCAGGATGGCTGGCCTAGTTTGTGTTGCTGAATCCCTGGAATAAACCTGGCACTACCACTAGTAGGAAAAAATCGCCATCCAAGACCTGATCATCTCTCTTTAGTGATATCCCACTGAGATGGAAATTTTGTTTGTTTGTTTGTTTGTTTTTAATAGCAGCAAGAGCTGGAATGTAGCTAAGTAGATCACCTATTTGCCTGCTATGAATTAAGCCTAGAGTGTGATCTCCAGTAATGGATAAACCAGGCATGGCTATGCCTGTCTACAATCCCAGTACTTGAGGGGTAGAGACAGAAGAATCAGAAGTTCAAGGTCATCTTTGACTCTACAGTGAGTTCGAGGCCAGCTTGTGGTACATGGGACCATCTGTAAACAAACAAACAAATAATAAATAAACAAATTAAGTCTAGCAAAATGGCTTTCATGAGACTAATTGTCCTCTCTCCAGCCATTAATCTTCCTTTTCCTGACTCTCTCTTCAGTTTTAACAAAACAGAGCCAAGTGCCATGACCCATGCCTGGAGTCCCAGCACTGGTAGGCAGACTGAGCCAAAAGCATCCTTGCACACAGGAATTAGGGGACAGGTCGGTTACCATAAGACAGTAATGATGCTGCAACACAGATAGACAAATCCTCAGAAATGTCAATTATTGATGCTCTCGGGTCCCTAATCTGATCATCGGTAGATCTTATTGATTTTACACTTCAGTCGCATCTGTATTTTCTCTATTCTTCTCATTTGAACCACCATGGTGGCTCGACATTCTAATATACACGGCACAAAACCGGACTGCATGTTCGTGCTTGTGTTCTGCACAGCTTGAAATAGATCTAGAAAGACAAACTCGCTCCGGTACGTGACAGCCTGTCCTCCGTTTCCCATCTTCCTTATTGCATCCTTTCTGTGCACCTTGTTCCTGCTGATGGGACTTGTATTTACTTGTTTATTCTTTGAGGCTCATATAGCACCCGAAGGCAGAGTCCATGAGAACACAGTCAAGCACCTTGAATATTATTATATCCAGAAAATGTTAAAGGTCTAAGAACCGTTTCTAAGGTTATTTGGAAGGTTGGGAAGCCATGCTTTGACTTCTAGTTCTCACAACTTAAAAGCCCAAACTTTTTCTACATGTTACATTTTCTCAAGTGCCCACTAGAGATACCTGTCTGGGGTTGGGGGCAGAGCTCAGTAGTATCATGCTTGCCTAGAATGTGTAAGGCGATGTTAATGGATACAGTGCTGGGAATGTAGCCCAGGTTTATCATTACAACTGCTTGTGCCTCCCTCTCCATTAAAATAAAATCAAGCCCTCACCTAAGTTTGGTGGCATACACATATAAAGCACCCCCTACACACACACACACACACACACACACACACACACACACACACACTCAAGAAGTAGAGGAAAATCAAGGTCACCTTTAATGTTTGAGGTGGGATATATGAAACTCTATCTCAAGAAAAGTAAGTAAAAATAAAACTTATATAAGCAGTATCAGGCCCAGTGATCTTGGCCTCTAGCTCACCCAGGACAGCAATTACCCTCTTCCTTGGTGATAGCCTAGGGCTACTGATGACTACTGTCTCTCTGTCTCTGACCTCAGCAGTAAGCATTCCATTCTCTGACCTTTGCTAGCTTTCTAACTGACTTTGCCTATTACCCTATCACTAAGAATTCATTTTTAGGGGATGGAGGACTAAAGACAGGGTTTCTCTGTGTAGCCCTGGCTATCCTGGAACTCACTCTGTAGACCAGGCTGGTCTCGAACTCACAGAGCTCTTCCTGACTCTGCCTACAAGTGCTGGGATTAAAAGTGTCTACCACTATACCCGGCTTCACTTCTTTAGTCTTTTTTTTTCTAGTTTTTGTTTTTTTGTTTTTTGAGACAGGGTTTCTCTGTGTAGCCCTGGCTGTCCCAGAACTCACTCTGTAGACCAGGCTGGCCTTGAACTCAGAAATCTGTCTGCTTCTGCTTCCCAAGTGCTGGGATTAAAGGCATACGCCACCACTGCCTGCCCCTTAGTCTTACTGAAACCTCTTCTTGGTCCTACTTCCTTCATGCTGTCTCTGTTCCCTTACATGTCCTCCATCTCTTCCTAAGTCACTGTGATTCCATATAATATAGTATAATATATAATATATAATAGTATAATAGTGCTATTATACTATTATAGCCACCACTGGGTATAAACTTCAACTTGCCTGTTAGTCTATATCATAATCACATGGCAACAATGTATCTTAATTAGGGGGCCAGAGAGATGGCTCGGTGATTATGAGCACATATTGCTCTTACAGAAGATTCAAGTTCAACTCCCAGCACAACAGTTGGCATGCCATCTTAACTAAATGAAACTTTCTATCTACTCTAAGCCTGTAACCACACATGCCCTGTATACCTAGAGAAAAATGAGATAGATCTCTGCTTTTGGTGGTCATTCATTTCAAGAAGATCCTTGGTAGAGTGTGGCAATCCTATTGCACTTATGAATCAACTCATTCTTCCACTCGCCAAGACAATCATTAGCCACTTCTTGGTCCTTGAACGTCAGCTTTTTCATTCTCAACTATTGATCTCCTTATTTCACTACGCAGACAAGGAACCAAAACACAATCCCATCATTTCCTTCAGTCTGCCAAGATTTCCAATGTCATCTCTTATCCCCTTACCGTGATGAATTAAGCATGCTGTCAGGTACCATCAAGCCCTCCACTTGCTTATTTGAGAACACATGATCTTACACTTTAAACATTCTTCTTGCAGTACACCCTCTTCCCCCCCCCTCCTTCTTCATTCTCCCCCTCCCACATGCACTTACCCTTTTTCCTCAGTCACCCACCACCTTGTATACTCCCTGCTCTGACCTTCTCTGCTGCACTAGCAGAAAAACCTCCTCTGAAAAGTTGTCTGTGCCAGCCGTACTTGCCACCACCAATCCCTGTCCCCTGAAATCTCCTTAAGCCACTGTCTTAGAGCTTTCCCTTAACATTTCACTAATGCTGTGAAGGTGGCTCGCCACTGCCTTGTGATTCTATCCTTTGGTGAATTTGGTCAGCTGTTTGTTTCTCCTCCCTTGACTTCCAGGTCTCCATCCTACCTTGGTGTTTCCTGTAATGGAATAAAGCGGGACAATGGTAAAGTTCAATGGCCCAGCATTCTCTCCCTCTGGTTCCCAGCTGCCATGACATCAGCTGCTCTACTCTGCAGTGCCCTCCCTGCCCTCTGGGCAGGGACAGGCAAAGTCCCCTGAAACCCTGAGCCAAGTCTCTGCTCTCTCAGTATTTGTCTCCTCTCAGGGTTGAAAGCGCTAACCGAGGCTTTCAGCTACTCTCCGTATACTGTGATTTCCTGATGATGGCCTTCGGAAGCACTTCCAATCCTGGAACATCCTGCATAATTTATCAAGAGTATCTTCCACGAAATAAATAAATAAACTCCCATTTAGAAAGCTTCGATGTCTTCACATTGCATCTGTTTTCTTTGAAATAAAAGCCCTTCTCAGCACTTATATGGTTTTGGTGTTAAGGGAAGTAGAGAATGTATTACTAAGACCAACAACTCTAAAGAAATGATAGAGGGGAAAAAGATAATTTAGAATAAAAAAATGTAAACACCCTACATATTAATATTTACCCTAGGGTCAGAGATGTGGCCCAGTTGACAGAGTACAGTGCTTCATAAGCCCTGGTTTGTCTCTTTGGCCCTAGACCAACTTTTTTTCTTATTCTATTTTATTTATCGATTTTATTTACTTATTCATTTATTTTTCTTTCATTTACTTTTTAAAATGTATTCTGCTGTCATATATTACATCCCAAGTGCAGTTTCCCTCCTCTTTCCTGTCCCCCAGTCTCCCCTGAAACACCTCTCCTCTCCTCCAGACCCACCCTACCTCTCCACCTCCCCTAAGAAAAGAGCAAGCCTCCCAACCAAACTCAACAAACTACAACAAGAGCTAGGCGGTGGTGGCACACGCCTTAATCCCAGCACTTGGGAGGCAGAGGCAGACAGATTTCTGAGTTCAAGGCCAGCCTGGTCTACAGAGTGAGTTCTGGGACAGCCAGGGCTACACAGAGAAACCCTGTCTCGAAAAACCAAAAAAAAAAAAAAAAAAAAAAACCTAAAACAAGACCCAGCACATATCCTCACATCAGAGCTGGACATAGTAACGTAGTAGAAGGAAAAGGGTCCCACAAGTAAGCAAAAGAGTCAGCCGTCCCCCCACCCGCTCTTCCTGTTAGGAGTCCCACGAGAACACCAAGCTACAGCCATAATGTATATGCAGAGGACCTAGGTCAGAGGCTCCCTGGTCAGTTGATTCTGTGGGCCGTGTTCTTGAACCTAGTATCCTTGAACCTCCCCCACACCCGACTCCTCTGGTCCTTCCTCCTCCACAGGACTCAATGTTTAGCTGTGGGACTCTGTATCTGTTCCCATCACTTGCTGGATGAAGTTTCTC